TAAAGGGAAGTGACAGAGAGGATTAAGAAGGGAATTCCACTGCTTTGGGTCCATGCAGCTGGGGGTGCAGCTGCCAATTGACAGACTGTTTAAAATTGGTGACAGTAAAGAAGCCAGAAGTAGTGGATTGCAGTGACAATTCTATCACAGTATCCCTCATTCATTACATGCAGGATACATACTATAATTCAACTATTTAACAAACAATGCAGTAAATTCCAGCATTCTATAGTTATGTGAAAAACAAGGTGTATTATTTTAGAAAACCCTATTCCCATCTAATGAGGACTAATATAATCGATTAATCTTAAGTGACAGCAAACTTAACATTCCATGTCACAAGTGTTTATAAACTCCACCTGTTACTGTTCAAAACTCTCCACGGTGAATTCAATGCCTCTTTAAAACAGCAGCTTGGGTTCGAAGGTCAAACAGCCACTGCAGTTGGACATTACCATTTGGAGAGTCAACCATGAGTGCTTTTCAATCTTCAATTTCCAGTCAGTACAGATCAGTCTTATGGTGAAAGCTCGTTTCTGTGTTGGTGATACTTTTCTTCACTCTTTCAAGGGAAGTGTGCATTACCGGCAAGGCCCACATTCATTGCCCATTCCTAATTGATCTGGAACTGAGTGGCTTACCAGGCCAGTTCAGAGGGAAGTTCAGAGTCAATCACATTGTCATGGGTCTGGAGTCACATGTAACAGACCAGGTAAGGAGAGCAGATTCCCTTCCCTGGTGGATTTTTACGATAATCAATGTTTAATGGTCACCATTCCTACAACAATTTTTCAATTCCTGATTTCAGTAAGAGAATTTAAGTTCTATTGGCTGTTACAATGGGATTTGAACCACCGTCTCCACTGCATTAGTCTGGCTTCAGGGTTACTAGTCCAGTGATATCACTACTATCTGACTATCTCCTCCAAAAATGATGATGATTAACAATTTTGTCGAACTCACTGAAAGGTGGAAGAAAGCTGTTTTCATGGAACCCATACAGTGCGGAAAAAGACCATTTGGCCCATCGAGTCTGCACCGACCCTCTGAAGAGCATCCCATCCAAATCCAGACCCCTACCTTATCTCCATAACCCCACATTTAGCATGGCTAACCAATTTAGCCTGCACAACTGTGGACATTTCAGACAATTTAACATGGCCAATCCACCTAACCTGCACATATTTGGTCTGTGAGAGGAAACCAGAGTACTCGGAGGAAACCCACACAGACACAGGAAGAACATACAAGCTCCACACAGACAGTGACCTGAGACTGGAATTGAACTTTCTGCTGTGAGGCACCAGTGCTAACCACCCAGCCACCGTGACGTCCTGAAACACTTTTGTTTCAACTTCTCCTGAAAAGTAAGAAGAAAGCACACAGAACTTTAGCTCTACACAGCAACAGAATAATGATAGAAGTTGTTCAAGCTTTCATCTGCCAGGAAATGGGAGGAAAACCTTCAAAGTTTTCAGCAGCTGTGTTTTTGGAGATGCTGTGGTCAGGAATTAGATGAGGAAACAAGGCATAATAATCATCCAGATGGGAGTCAGTGACCCAAACTTCAAAGTGCCAGTGTTGGATCACAGCCCTCAAATTACCTCGTGAAACCTTCTTTTGACACCTGATAATTTCTGGAATTTCTATACTTTAGATGGAATATAGACAAGCCCAAATAATGAGAGGGTTTAACTTATCACAGTGATGGTGTTCCTGGGTGTATGCCTTTATTTTAAATTTGGGAATTCTGCAGCATAAACGAGACAAAAACCAAAACATAATAATTTTAGTGGTACATTGACAGGTGTCCTGGCTCCATGCCTATTAACAAGGCCACATGATGATTTATCTCCAACAGTTACTACATATTCACTGCTCTAGGATGCCTCACTCCAGTGTGATTTTTAATTAAGATTTTCACAGATCAGAGCTGTGCATGGTGAAACACAGTTGGAATAACCTCCCCTTCCGGCTCACAAAACTGCCACAAACAACTGCAATGTTCAATAAGCCTCAACATCTCTACAATCAGGAAGCAATGCTTTAACAGCCACTGTACAGCCCTTTATGAACATCGTGAAATAGGAGTAGAAACAGTCCATTCACCCCTCAAGCTGGCCCTGCCATTCACTAAGGTCATGGCTGATCATTTTGTTCTGAATTCCACATTCCCATCTATCTCCGATAATTGTGATTCTTGCCGAGGGAATAAATCTACCTCTGCCTGAAAAATATTCAATCACTCCAGCTTCTGAGGCAGAGAATTACAAATACACATAGCATTCAAATAAAAACCTCAACAAGACCTCCTAATTCTGACCCCACCCAGAAGATAAAACCCCTTTTCCATTTCCACTTTGTCAAGGCTATTCAGGATCTTACATACTTTAAATCAAGTCACTCCTCCAAATTCAACTGGAAAAAAGACCAGTCTTTTCAACATTTCCTCATAAGCTAACCCCATCATTTCAGCTGTCAATCTAGTAAACCTCCTCTGAATCGTCTCTAAAGCATTTACATTCTTCTTTGGATGAGAGCAACAGAGTATTCAAGAGATGTGGTCTACCAATGTCCTGTACAATTAAAATGTAATATCCTTACTCGATAAAGCAGAGCATCCCATTAGCCCTCTTAATTACTTGCTGCAGTTATCTGTCTCATGAATCAGAACATCGTTGTTAACCATTTAAGGAATACTGTTTTTTTTTAATCATTCCTGCCAAAGTGAACAACTTCATTATTTTCTCACATTATACACCGTGTGACAGATTTATGTCCACTCGTTTAAGCTATCTGTAGCCATCTGAATCCTCTTTATGTCCTCTTCAAAACATACCTTCCTATTAGTCGTTGTGTAATCTGAGTCATTGATACAAATTTTCTGAAAAGCTGAGACCTCAGCGCAAAGCTCTGCAGGACTCCACTCATCACATCCTGCCAATCAGGAAAAGACCGATTTACACATACTTCTCAATATTCTGGCAGAAATCTCAAAATCTTTCTTCTAAGTGAACTACTTGGACATGAACCCCAAGTACTAAACAGATATTACCCAGCCCACACATTATGTTCATCTTAAGAAGTATCATTTTGAGAAGACATTGCGTTGATTACTGAGCCATTTCATTTCAATGGTCAAATCTGAGGCCTTCAATGAACAATCAGGTGAATTATTGAAATTTTCTGCCCTGAGTGCTGTGAATGCTCAGTTGTTAAGAACATTCAAGGTACAGATTGATGATTTCTTTAGTGCCCAAAAATCTAACGGATGGGGAGATCAGATGGGAAGGTGCAGTTGAGTTTGAAGGTCAGCCATGATATTGGTGAATGCTGGTGCAAACTCGAGGGGATGATGGCCTACTCCCCACTTCCTACATCTGATGCTCTGCACCAAAATCCCCAAAGCCTTTTGTAACCACACAATGCCTTGTCCCTCAGTACCTTTGTGCTATAAATTTAACAAAAAAGACTTTGATTTTCTATGCCTGCTTTCATTCCCTGACAGCATAACAAAACACATTTGTGGTTTCCGAAGCATCATCAATTTTAATTGCCCTGCCAATTGTAGCAGTGGGTCAGGTGCCGAGGCCCTAAATTCCCTCCCTAGACCTTAACATCTCTCTAACTCTCTTTCCTCCTTGAAGATGCTCCTTAAAATGGACTTCTTTGAGCTGGATTTTGGTCACCGGTTGTAATATCTCTTTCTGTGGCTCAGTGTCAGATTATGCCTGATGATGCTCCTATCTTGGGACAGGTTACAACGTTAATGGTGTTATATAAAAGCAGAATGTTATTGAACAGAGATCAACTTGTTTTCATAGCTTTTTGTGCTACCTTACAACAATGAAATGAACTTTATGAACAAGGACGTTTGCATGTAGATTCTGTGTTATTCAATGATTGCTGCACCTTATGTCCCTAAAGAATTTTTATTGGACTCCAATATCCCCAAAGTCAAATAGTATTTTTCTCTGTTACCACTCCAGGTGAAAAGAAGATCCTTTAGTTATTTTCATAAAACAATCCTTGATAAAAACAGAAATCAAAATTCACTCCATCCTCCACCTTCAGTCCAAGAATTCAATTAATTTTGAGTAAATAATTCTACTCGGTATTATTAGAACAAACAAGAACACAGGAACAGGAGGAGGTCATTCAGTCCCTTAATTCTGTTCTGTCATTCAATGAGATCGTAGCTAACCTGTACCTCATTTCCATCTGCCCACCTTGGTTTTGTACTTCTTAATATCTTTAGGCTACAAAAATCTCAGTTTAGAAACTTTCTGTGACCCTCCAGACCCTTACCAGCTCCTCCCGCAGCCTCAACATGTTTTGTTTCTGGGGAAGACATTTCTAAGTTTCCACCATCCTATTTCTGACACTGCCCCTGAATTTTAATATGGAGCATAAACAGAATATGAGAAAGTCTAATCCTGAAGCTACTTGAATACAAAATGCACAATGTGATAAATCTTTCATTTTTATTATGTAAATCAAGGAGGTGTGTTTTCCAATTATTATCTGTAGACTGTAATTTTAAAAGATGTGTAATTATGTAATAATTTTACACCTTTTTATTTTGCCAATTGTCTACAACTGCTATGATCGGTGATTTGTTTCATCACAATTCTGTAAGTGCCATCACGATGATTTTTCAAAACAAATTACCTATCTTATGTCTCCTGTCCTGGACTCTATCAAGAGAGAAATTAAGTTTCTCCCTACCAGCCCCATCAATTCCTTTCAATATCTGAAGTGACTTGCTTAGATCACCTCCTGGTCTACTACAGTCAAGAGAATGTAAGCCCAGTCTATGCAATTTACCTTCATACCTTAACCCTCCTCTGGTATCAGTAATATACTCCCCTCCAAGGCTACATACATAAGAGTGTTTGCAACAGTTCAGAGGTTGAGCCATTTAATTGTACAAAAACAAGCCAACAAGCATCTTGAAGATTGACTCTGCACAGAGCACTGTTGAATGATGCGGGACTTACTTCTGTGACCAGCAAACTGTGAGCTTCTTTCCTCGCATTTTCAGGCACTGTGGAGAAGAGTGTTCTGCCATGACGTTTCATTGTCACAATCTAAGAAAACACAAGAAAAACACTTTCAAATAACAGGGTAGCGCGAAATCATGGTTTTTCTTTGACTTGGCTGCAAAAATTATTAGAATAATTATCAGAAACCATATGGGCAGGAGTAGGCGGATTCAATTCACGAGTACCTTGTGGTAATCGATGCAACTGAACTAGCATTTTTACTGAAGCAATTTTTTTTTCAGAAATTAGGAAAACATGCACATTCCCTCATCCCAGTCAGTATATTCAGAAAATGGTGACAAAATAACAAATACACGTGAAAACCAACACAAAGATTCCCCTCCTTCAAATGAAATATCTGCAATCTCAAAACACAAATTATTTATCTGACACAGAATTCCCTGGACATTATTCCAATGCAACGGCTTTGAATACAGTTTAATCTGAGACAACAAGGTGTAGAGCTGGATTAATACAGCAGGCCAAGCACCATCAGAGGAGCAGGAAAGCTGACGTTTCGGGTCTGGACCTTTCTGAAGAAGGGTCTAGGCCCGAAACGTCAGCTTTCCTGCTCCTCTGATGCTGCTTGGCCTGCTGTGTTCATCCAGCTCTACACCTTGTTATCTCAGATTCTCCAGCATCGGCAGTTCCTACTATCTCTGTAACAGTTTAATCTGATCTGTGTTTGGGAAACTGCAGCCTGAACCCATTTGCATTATTTTCTAAAGACAATTTATCAAAGAATCCAAGGAGGTTTTATTTTGAACCTAAAGACAAGAAGTATTTACATAAGTTAATGTGGATTTATGACAGCTACAGCACTTAAACGCAATGAAGGAATTTACTCTGCCTAAGAACTGAAGGCAACAGAACTTTCAGTATCAGGTGAGAGAGAGTGAGAGAACCTGCAGTTAGGAACACTTTGAAATTACAGTCAGCTTTTACAGAGTACAGCTAAATGTGCTTTCACTGACAACCTGAGATTTGTAGAGTTGACAAAAAGTGACTGGTGTGTCTCACAGTTCTCTGGTTCCTAACTATCTGCCTTCTACTGGTTTGGACACATTCCCTCTATCCCAAATTTTACTGCTTTTCCTGGGGATGATACAACTGCACAAAGTCAAAAACTGCCCTAAATCCCCCTCCCAGGTCCCTCTCATCTTTTTGAGCTGATTGGCTACAGTCTCACTTTCACAGATTCTATAGGTCACAGGCTGCACTAAGTCCCTGTTTGCCCTCCTGCTTCTGACTTGCTTATTCACTGGGTACGTGCAAAAAATCGTTCTGAATTTTTACGTAGAATTTTCAGCACAGGAACAGTACAACTAGTCTGTTCTAAAGTTTCTACTCTACGGGTCTTCTCCCATTTTATATACCTCAGCTCAGCCTTTCAGCAGATCTCGCTATTACTTTCTCCCTCATGTATTTGTCTAGTTTCAGGAGGCTCCACAGCACTGAGGATGTCATCTAGTAAGGGGACGAAACGTCCGCTGTCAAACCTCCCAGCTCAGCGAACACACCAACATCTACAACCAGCACCCGAGCTACAAATCTTCACTCAAACCATTTCTGAAGGAGGGTCTAGGCCAGAAACGTCAGCCTTCCTGCTCCTCTGATGCTGCTTGGCCTGCTGTGTTCACCCAGCTCTACACCTTGTTATCTCTTCACTCAAACCTTGTCTACTTTCATTTGAAAAGCCTCTGAGTCGCTGACCTCAATCACTATCTGTGGTAGAGAGCTCCACATTCTAAACAGCATAAATTTTTAAATCTTATTTTCCTGTTGGATTTATTAGTACAGAACTGTATTGTACTAATGGCTCCTAGGATTCTCGCACAAGTGGAAACATCTTCTCTACCTCTACTCTCTCTAACCCATTTATATATCAGCTACGTCACTGCTGTATCTTTTCTGAAAAAAAAAGTTCAATTTACAGAGTCATATAGCATGGAAACAGACCCTTCGGTCCAACTAGTCCATGCTGACCATAATCCCAAACTAGAATAGTCTCACCTGCCTGCGTTTGCCCCATATCCATCCAAATATTTCTTATTCATGGACTTTTAAACACTGTACTCTATCCACTACTTCCTCTGGAAGTTCATTCCACACATGAACCATTCTCTGTGTAAATAAAAATTACCCTTCATGTCTTTTTTTTAAATCTTTCTCCTCTCCCCTTAAAAATATGGTCTCTAGTCTTGAATCCCCCCCCACCACGGAAAAGACACCTGCCATTCGCCTTATCGAGACTCCTCATAATTCTACAAACGTCGATAAGTTGTTCAAGTTTTCTTAATAGCTGTAATCTCTCAGCTGGTTATAGGGCTAAGAAGGGTGAATGTGGCCATGGAGGAATTTAAAAACAGAAAGAGGAATGTTTTAAGACTGATGCTCACCCAGAACGTAAGCAAATGTAGGTCAGTGAACAAACTGGCAATGAATGAACAGGGCTTGGTGCAAGTGAGCGTATGAGCAGCAGTTCTGGATGAGTTCAAGTTTACGATCGGAATACCATGCTGTGGCAGAAATATCGGATGAAGAAGGGAATAATTGACCTTAGTGGCTTGCTGCACAGACGTTGCACAAGGTACGATGGTGGCTGAGCACAAGATTTGAAACACATTGAATTAATTTCCCTCAGTGGTTTGTGGCAAGTGCTCAGCAAAATCTTATTTTTTTTAAACACAAGCTCATAGTCCCATTGACAAAACATAAATCATTCAAGCTCAGTCAGCCCAAAAGACAGTGTTCCTGATTGTCCTCCCCTACTGACACCAGCTGTTGCGGCATCACAACTGGAGATATGATACTTTGAGAGCTATGGCAGTACACCAGAATTTCAATTAAGATGGGTACAAACAGGTTCTTGGATTTTAGAAAAAGTCCAATGGTACTTCGCTGAAAACTCTTGTTTAAACAATAAGCCATGTCTCAAATGTAATCAATACTTTTCACAACAAACAATATGACCTTACAGGCATAATCCCAGGCACATTCACGGGAAGAAGACACGTATTAGATTCTCAATGGGAAAATAATCAAGCTGTTGGGTGTAGGTTCAAGTTGGAGTATTATTTTTCTGTCATTGTTCATCACTGCTCTCCCAATAGGCACGTAACTGTTACATTTCGCAACATCTAACTTTAAATCAAAAAATGACTCAAAATATCGCTTTCAACAACAACTTATACTTAAACAGTACCATTAACACAATGAAACGTCCTGAGGAATTTCCAAGGGACATTACAAAACTGAGCTACATACAGCGATATTAGGTCACGTGACCAAAAGCTGATCAGAGAGGTAAGTTTTAGGGAACATCTTAAAGGAGGAACATGAGGTAGAAATGCTGAGGGGCTTAAGGCAAGAATGCAAGAGCTTGGAGGTCAAGCAGCTGAAGGCCTGGCCACAAATGCTGTAGTCACTAGAAGTGGGAACATAGAGAAGAACAGAATGTGAGAAGTAAAGAAATCTCAGACAGTTGTCAGGCTGCTGGAGAAAGGAAGGGGCTGAGGCCATAGAAATTTGAAAACAAGGCTGATTATTTTAAAATCAACATTGTGCTTGACTACCAGCCATTCTAAATCAGTAAATAGAGGGGTGATAAGCGAACAGGATTTGGCGTGAGGCAGCGCATGGGCAACAGAACTCTTGTTGGCCTCAATAACAAATTAAACTACCCAAGGAGGTAACAAGTCAGTCAGATGTCCAAAACTTGGTCAGTAAGGCAGTTTTAAGTCGGAAAGTGAGGTAGAGAGGCCAAGAGGCTTAGGAAGGGAATTCCGGACTTAGGAAATACAAAACCTATTTGCTCTAATATTTTATGAAAGGGACTTGAAATAAAAGGTGCATTGTTTTCGATAAATAGGATTAGAAGGCACTAAAGTAAGTCAGTGAACAAACATTTAAACTGGACATCAGAAAGTATTTACTGCATTAATGATTATATATCTGAAAAAAATCAGCACAGCACCTATTAAATGGAGATTATTTTCAACGACTGAAGAAACACATCAGCAAAAATGTTTCCATATTGTGCTTATCACAGCAAGACAGCCTGACATTAGTTCTAACTGCTGTGTTCAGATAAGCACACTCAAGCTGCAGATGTTCTTTATGAAAACTAGTGAATTGTGGCAAGCAGGAAACTCCCTGCTCTAAGTGTCCATATGTTCCAAACTGTAGATGTTAAACAGCTACACTGCAACAGGTTACCATCACGCAACTTCAATAATCAGCTGGGACCAATGAAACCTGCAATTATGGTGATCTTGGGGATGATCTTTTTGTGTATTAACAGGTGTCCTTATTTTCAAGATCATCACTATATATAAAAAAGGTCAGTTGAATAGAGAATTATTTAACCATCACCTAAAGTGCTTTAAACCCTGGTAGAGTTGTTTACGATCTTCCAATCACAGAGGTTTCTCTGCCACCTCATGTTTATATTCTTTGATGGGCCGGTGAAGTCAACATTTCTTGCCCATTCCTAACTCCTTCGAGAAAATAGTGTGTGAGCCATTTTTGTGAATCACTGCAGTCTAAATGAGGCAGTGACAGCCACAGTGCAGTTTCGGAAGGAGTTCCAGGATTGTGACTCAGTGACAAGACAAGGAAAGGACAATATAGTTCCAAATCAGGGCAGCATGAGGCTAGGAGGGAAACCAGCAGGCAGTTCACAAAAACCAGGCTGTGACTGGTATGTGGGGAGCTCATGGGAATTTGGGGCAAAAAGTAAACGAGCTGCAAGGGGGATGCATCAAGGTTGTACCAGGCTGGCCGGCGCTTGTTTTATACTGTGACAAGGACTTGCTGAAGTGAAGGTTGGTCTGAGGTACACAATTTGCAAAGGAATCCTTGGTCGCAGAACATAGTGTGACGATGCTATGGCTTTAAGAGGTGTATTTTGTCCTTTTTTATTGGAAGAGAGGTTTTGAACCATAGGTACCAAGCTGTCTCCTTCAATACAATAAAGTAAATAGCTTATGAGGCCTTGAGGTTTTTTTTTAAAAGTTGAAAGAATAGAAGTAGCCTGAACGGGT